GAGAGAGAGAGAGAGACGTACACAAGGGGGGCAGCAGGCAGAGTCTGCATGGATAGCCTGGAAGCAGAGGAGTTCCCTTGTGGACTCCTGGTCACCTGCAGTCACACGATCTTGGGAATGCAGGGACCTATGGGGCCACCTGTTTTCAGGGTCACAGTGCTCTCTGGCCATATTTCTGCCCATCTTCATTACTCAACACTCCCATGGCCTCTCCAGGCCACCCTATGTGACAGGGTGGAACTGCCCCTATGGGTTTCCAAGACTGTCACTCTGTATGGGAGCAGCCAGCCTCGTCTTTCTCCCGAGGAGGGACTGGTGGGTTTGAACTGCTGACCTTGATGTTAGCAGTCCAATGTATAACCACTGTGCCACTACAGCTCCTTTTGGCTTGGTTTACCATGGTCATAATGAGCCCTGGTCGAGCAGTAGTTAAGTACCGACTGCTAATGGAGAGGTTGGCCATTCAAACCCACCAGCGGCTCCATGGTTGGAAGATGAGGCCGCCTGTTCCTATAAGGATTTGTTTGGAGACCTTATAGGCCCTTCTGCCTGGTCCTCCAGGTTGCTGAGCCCACGAGGCAGTCTCGGGGCCAGTGAGTGCACCTCACTAGGCGCTATGGTCTAGGTGCTGGTTGTGAACTTCAGATGAACTACTCATAGCATGCAGGAGACAGACATCCCAGGGCTGAGAGACTGGGCGCAATCCCACCCCAGACAGGAGTTTCTTCTGGCATCTCTGAGACAGCGGCCGGTCACCCTTTCTAGGCTTGATACAACCTTGAGGTTCAGAGTGTGGGAGTGGCATCACTGTTTTGCCTTCCTGGTTCCATCTCTGTGGGTCTCTGGGTTCCTCCCCCCAGCTTATCATCACTGGCAGGAGCCTCCGGGCTCCATCAGCACACAACCTGGACGCATCAGCTCCCCTTCACAGGGCCTTTGTACTTTCAGAAGAACCGAAAAGCACTTCTGGATCTGCTGTTTCCTGTTAACTGGCCGGTTTCCTCTTGTGGCAGTTTTACAACAGTGCTAACTGATGGGGCATGGAGAAGGGGCTTGGGTACAGATTTCAAGAAAACCATGCGAACAGAGCAGGCACTCTTTTATTGGCACTCTAGGTGTAGCCGCCCTCAGTGGGCCACCATGGTTGCCCCCTAGACATGTCCCCTGGCAATGATGGCTGTGGCTCTGTGGTGTGTGGTGTGGTGTGGTGTGGCGTGGCGTGGTGTGGTGTGGCGTGCCCAGGGGACGTTTACCAGGACAGACTCAAGGCCTTGTGTTATTACAGCTCTGGACAAGTCGACTCTCTGAGGGATCACTCTTCTGATCTTCAAGAAATGTTTTCTTTAAATTAAAAAGGCAGTGCTCTCTAGGTATGCTTGTTTTCCACTCAGAGGTCACCAAACGCCCTCTCCTCTGTCTGTCCTTTGGCAGGCACACATGCCTGCACACTTGCACGTTTCCCCTCAGTGGACCAGTGTCAGCAGGTGAAGGCATGCGCATGAAGTCATCTTGGAGATGGACTCCACTCTCTGCAAGTCTGTTTGTGCTGCTGCTGTGTCTGGTGACACTGGCTCAGGCACCACTTGCCACACACACCCTTCTTTGACAGGACTCCCCAGCTGTTGTTAGGTGGTTGTTAAGTACCATCAGGCCAGTTCTCACTCAGTGCTGTCCTCCCGATTATCCTCTGTGTGAGCCACAGGGTCAGCTCCCGCTGCACGCCTCCCATGAACCCCATGAACCACCCTGCAGGCCCCACACCCACTCTGCCTTGTCTTCTCCCCAGGCTGTCCAGGGCCGGGCCATCAGCCAGCCTGACCGTGACCTACGCGTGGACCTGGGCTTCCGTGGGATGCCCATGACAGAGGAGCAGCGGCGCCAGTTCAGCCCAGGCCCGCGCACCACCATGTTCCGCATCCCCGAGTTCAAGTGGTCACCCATGCACCAGCGACTGCTCACTGACCTGCTCTTTGCGCTGGAGACCGATGTGCATGTCTGGCGCAGGTGAGCATGGGTGGGCCCTCCAGGGACCTTTGTTGCTGTGGAGCATCCGCACAGTCAGTCTGCCCAGAGTGACCTGGCTCCCTGGGGTCCAGCTAGAGGACAGGGGGACTGGGCCCACACACTTGTACACACTGCCCTGCACACACAGCATGCACATGCACCCTCCTGTGTACACCCACCACTACAAGATAGCCCCACCCATGCTCTTGTGCAGACTTCCTGGAGCACATAATGTGCACATACACCTTTCCCATGCACACAGCCTCATGTATACCCCCACACATTCACACCCTCACACACACCTTGTGCACACCCTCACACTCACTCCTGCACGCACGCATAACTGCAGGCACACCCCAGCATGTTCATACCCCTGCACATCCATGCTTGTGCACACATACCTGCACACTTGCAGGCAGACTACAAATACCCCACACCCATCATCATCAGGTTCAGCTTCTCACCCTCATCCCCAAACCCCACTG